ATAGGTGACCTTAACAAATATTCTTGAATAAAGATTGCCCTAATGTTCTTTCAAAATTCTCTGCTAAAATTGTGAGCAGAATAATAAGTGGATGATTTCTTTGAAGTACACCTTCTCTTCCTCCTTCTAGAATGGGAACACTTTCCCTTCCAATACCTCCACCCCATTTTTTCTGACATGCTCTTTTCTGTCTCCCAAGCAGCACACTACAGAGAAGAAACAGGCAGTGCTTAAAAAGGATGATGTCTTCAACAACAAGAACAAAAATGAAAATTAGGTTGAGTAGTCCATGAAATTAGCTAGAAGCCTGCACATTTCTTTTATTTGTCTGTAAGGAAATGCCAAAATGATGGGTGATAGATGTTCTTGAAAGCTAAGTTCATGCACTAGGGATCCCTCGATGAGTCAATAGATATTAATTCCAATAAAATAATGGGAATACCACTATGCTGTTCTGACTATTCAATCCACATTCTGCCCCTCAAACATTCTATAACACATTAGGGTTGTGTAAGGAGTGATTCAAAATATGGAAGCTTCAATTGAACCTTTAATCAACAAAGATTCATAAATCATGATGTAGACTCATTTCCAATCAAGTGGCTTCTTTCCACAGCTTTTAAAATACTTTGCAGAATAAATGGCTTTTTTGCCATTTCAGTAAATAATATAACTTCACTTTCATATGTGTAGAATGCTGATGTTGCATATGCTGATTTGTAACATTGACTTGAATCATTGGGTAGATTGTATAATGTTATTACATTCTCCTCTTATACATGATCTTTTAGGGTGGCAGACCGAACCGTTCCTTAGTTTTAATTTATTTCCTCAGTTTCCAACTTCTTTGACCAGCTATAAGCCTTAACTTTGATGTTTCTTCTGGTAACAGAATATTATTACACAACTTGAAGTTCAATTCAGCTATTTGCAATCTGAACATGGGTTTAAGTCAGATGTGTACTTTTTGTGAATATACCCTGTCTACCAGCTTCTTATGCCAGAATGCTAGTAGAGATACTCACAAGAAATAGTTATATGTTTTGGGTCTCTTATAGGATCAAATACTCTGCCATAAGGAGTAGAAATGGTCATTTTGATCATTTTAAAGTAAAGAACAAATTGTAGGAATATTCACTGAAGACTATGTACTGAAACTGGGAAAAGTATTAGGTTAATATAGCCATTCATAGATTCTGATTAACATTGGATTTCCAAAAAGTTAGAGAAAGCCCAGGTAAGGGAGAAGAACTTCAGAAAATGGATAATTGTGTGGAAATAGATAAAATACTTAGGAATAAATTTGTTCCAGGTATGATTCCTGACATCTGATTCCTGCTTGCTGTATATATATTTCTAAATAAAAGCTACAAAATGCCTTCCAGAAAATATTTTTTCTCTCTAGAAAATTTGTTTAATCTATAATATTAATGTGGAACTCTATTCCAACTCCTTCTTATGGAAAACCTAGGGCAGTCAGTGGCTATTTGTATAGACCAGCATGATCTGGAGATGTGCTCAGTGCATTGTTTTTAATTTTGCAGTTTTCTTTTGTTAAGTAAGATACCAGATGTTTTCCTATGAATAAACTCCTCTGAAATTTATCTCATTTAACATTGAAAGATGGTATTTTAAATGTATAGTTTAAAACAAGGAGAAGTGAAAAGGCTAAAATTTCTAGCCAATATGGTTTATGCTATATAACCTTACATAGCATAGACCACATTGCATTATATATACAGATAATAATTCTTCTTATTTTTTGACTTTTTAATTTCCAGAAAGGGACCACAAAGTGTGAGAGTTCTATATCACACTCCAAGCCCAAGAACCACATGTCTCCTGGGAGATAGGTGGTAGCAGTAGAAACTACTGAGACACTAGCCCAAGGCAGGAGGTATGAAAATTCAGGGAACTCCTGAGAGAAGAAAACAGAGACCTCCAGTTTTCTCTATATAGACTTAGATGTCTATTACAGATTTGTTGCATCTAACCAATACATACCTTGGGATAAATTTTGTGTGATTGGAGCAATATATAAGCATAATCTTTGAAAAATCTTTCAGGACCAGCTCCTTGCCAGACCTATGGTCACTAGCCACGGTCATCCCCATCTTCAAAAAGGGAGAGCCCAGCCTAATTGAAAATTACAGACCAATCTCTTTATGTTGCATCACCTGTAAAGTCATAGAATCAATTATTAACCAATCCATTATCCTCTACTTAGAGACAAACAACCTACCCTCTAACAAACAATTTGATTTCAGAAAAAAATTATCCTGTAATCTGCAACTCCTACACTGCAAAAACATATGGACTACACAACTTGATCAAGGCAAAGCGATTGACACTATTTTCATAGACTTCTATAAAGCCTTTGATTCAGTAGTACACAACAAATTACTCCTAAAACTAAAATCTTATGGTATCTCCAGACACCTGCATAACTGGATAGATGCATTCCTGTCATACAGACAACAAATGGTCAAAATAGGGAACACTCTATCAAATTCTGTACCTGTCAACAGTGGTATCCCCCAAGGCAGCGTTCTAGGACCATCTCTCTTTATACTTTACATAAATGACCTCTGTGATCATATTAAGAGCAACTGCATTCTGTTTGCTAAAGATGTAAAACTATTCAACACCACACTGACAATACTGCTACCCTTCAAAAAGACCTCAACTATGTGTCAGAATGGTCAAACAAATGGCAACTTCAAATCTCAACAAATAAATGTTCTGTGTTACATATTGGAAAAAAAATCAGAAAATAAAATGCAAGCTGAATAATCAAGACCTTGTTGAGGACCCCAACTATGTCAAGGACCTTGGAGTACTCATCTCTAATGATCTAAGTGCTAGAGCCCACTGTAACTACATAGCCAAAAAGGCATTAAGAGTTGTTAACCTAATCCTGCATAGCTTTTTCTCCGGTAATATCATACTACTAACTAGGGCATGCAAAATATTTGCTAGACCAGTACTTGAATACAGCTCATCAGTCTGGAACCCACATTACGTATCTGATATTAACACAGTTGAGAAAGTCCAGAAATATTTCACAAGAAGAGTTCTCCACTTCTCCTCCTTCTCCTCTACTCATAGCAAAATACCTTATGCCACCAGACTTGAAATTTTAAACCTAGACAACCTAGAACTATGCTGCCTTTGGTCCAATCTAAGTATAGTACATAAAATTATCTACTGCAATGAATACTTCAGCTTCAACCACAACAATACTAGAGCACAGAATAGATACAAACTCAAGGTAAACTGCACCAAACTTGATTGCAAGAAATACGACTTTAGCAACAGAATGGTCAATGCCTGGAATACTCTACCTGACTCTGTGGTTTCTTCCCCAAACCCCCAAAACTTTAACCTTAGACTGTCTACTATTGACCTCACCCCTTTCCTAAGAGATCTGTAGGGGGCGTGTATAAGTGCACCAATGTGCCTACCGTCCCTGTCCTATTGTTTCTTTTTTATTCGTATCCATTTCATATATTCATAACCATGCTTATACCTGTTATCTAATACTTGCTTGACAAATAAATAAAATAAAATAAATAAATAATGAGTGAGTGAGTGAGTGTCAGGATAATATTATAGTGGCTGGACGAAACACTTACTATTTTTTTAAACACAGGGATGCATGTTACTTTTTCCTCTGCCAACCTTGTGTTTTATAGTTTACCGATCTCTGTGGCATTGAATTTCATTGTGTCAACCTGCTTCTGCTTCCATTGCAAGTCCATTAATTAGCATAGGTATGCCAAATTTGATAGCATGATTTTTTTCCAATGGTGTAGAAGTTCTTCTCAGGATGGTCAGGTTTGTTAATTGGCCATGTTTATTCCCTTATTATCTCAGAAAGTTTAGGTTTAAAAGTAGTAAAATATACTGTCCTACAAGAACAAATCAATGGTTATGTTCAGTATCATGAGAAGCCTAGAAAGTGAATGAAGAAGTAGGAGAATACTTTTTAAACTGTTTTTATTTTTAAGTTGGGGTAGGACATTTTCATCACTGGTTCAGCAGTATTTAGGGTCCTTGTTGTCCCTGATATCCCTTCTCCATCTATGTAATCTGTGTGTTTACAAAAGATTCAGGAGCAATAATTTGAAAATTATTGTGGTGAAATTCTTGAAGAATCCAGCTAAAACATTATATAGTTAATATCCTTCAAAGGATCTATCATCCTTTCAGATTTTATGCAATTTTGCCCTAAATGAAACTGCTTTAGACATTTTGATGTTTTCCCACTATGATTAATGAATGACCTTTTCTTTAAGTGAAATCCTAAATTTTAAAATATCTCAAATAACATTAGTCTGCTCTTAAATTGAAACCTTGATTTGAGTCATTCCCTCTGAATCTTACATCACCAATTCATAAAATCTACTTTCTTCTTATCAAGTACATTTATATCATATTTAATATACATTTATTCCCATCTATCCATCTATTATTTTGGAGATTTTTTTAGAAGTTGTATTTTATTTTATTCTGAATTGCAATACTGTACTTTGAAATTATTTTAGTTGTGGACCTTTATTTCCAATGGTGCTAAAAATAATGCTTCTTCTAAAAATTCTACAGTTGTAGAATTTTTGAGGGAAATTATGAAGCTGGCCTTGTTAGAAACAGATATGTCCATTAAAGAGTGTAAAGGAAGGCAAATAACAAATATGTAACATGACACCACAATGCAAACTTCATATCTTAAGTACAGGCATGCAATGTCACAAGAGAAACTACCAGAGATGTAGTCTGTATTGTCAACGTCCATGCTTTATCATTTTTTTTGGTCATTGTGGCTGGAAACTGACACCTATAGCTAAAAATTGAATGTTAGACAGAAAGTGCAAACTAGTAGTACAATATTTAGCCTTTATTACTTCCCTTTGTAGAATTATAAAAAGCTACAACAACATGGAGGAAGAAATCCCTGTGAATATGACCCATAATTTTGCCATTTTATAGTATTTTCTTTTGTGCTTGGTTCAGCAGCACGTATCCTAAAATTGGAACCATACAGAGAAAATTAGCATGGCCTCTGCAAAAGGATGACACACAAATATATATAGTATTTTTTTCGTAGTTGAATTGAAGTTGGCAGGCAGCAGGCCATTTTGCTTGACTGTACTTGCCCAGCTGGAAGAAGCAATAAAAAAAACCATGTCAGTAATGCACAAAAAACTTATAAGGTCATGTCACCAAGTTCTCAGCTCAGCTTGAACAAGTTTCAGTTGGTAAGAGAACTTATGGCAGCTCTCATATGGAAACAAAACAGCATTGTGCCTATCTTGCTATTAACTGGTGTTTGGAAGATGGTTAACAATGTGATATCTATATACAGTGGCTAGGAGAATTTTTTGCATTTAGAATCCAATGGCTTAAATGTTTTCAAAAACAGAAATATGTATAAATTCAGCTTGTTACTAAACGTTACTCCAACTCTTCAGTATGTTTGCAGACTAAAGTTTGAGTTTGATAACGGAAATTTTCTCAGAAAATACTAAGTAAATCTTAGCAATGTTACAGTATCTGAGAAATCCATTACACAATCAAAATAAAACAAAAAGTAGCATCACCAGACTGGTTGTGAAACAAAAACAAGTGTTTCCCACTTTTAATTGCTCACCTGCTTTTCTCTTCATTTCAGCTGATGGAACAGGTTTAGTTACAGACAATGTGCATCAGAAATCCCTTGGCAGTCCAGATCAGAACAACTGAACAACAATCATGCACCTACTTAGACACACCGCAAGTCACTGAAATAAAATCACAATAAACTACCATTTAAATATCTGGTTTCAACACATTAATCATAAATTAGCAACATATAACATGTAAGATTAAGATATGGCTGGCTAGTCTGCAGTTCAACATGTTATGCAAAACCGACTACAGATAAGCTTCTTAAACAGAAAGTGATTAAGGTCATAAAAACAACTGTAGGACTGCAGTCTGTGCAATCCGTGCGTGCTGCCCGTATTACTTGCAAAAATAATTCTGGAATTTTCCTAAAATAGACGGAAAGGAAAATTCTGAATGGGTTTAAGACTATCTCCAGCATCTTAAAGAGATGGCACCAAACTATCAAATAACCAGGACTATTATTTCCAATGGTATTATAGATAATGTTGAGGAGCTTTTCTGAATTTGACTTTCATGCAATTTAGTAAAAAAGATTTTTGTCAAAGAGTCCATCGATAAAGCATTTGGCAGATATATTGGAAACTTGAAAAAATGAAACATTGATTTCATATTTTCATATAGGACTGATTAATATAAAGACCAACATTTTTTAATAATCTATCTTACATCAGACTCCAGCCTATAAAATAAAAAGAGATTAGAAATAATAATTATTGACCTAGATACTTATATTAACTGATCTGATAATTATTCCAAACAGCACTTACAGTTCTTACTGTATGATAACATAACATGCTTTGAATCTGTAAAGAGATAGCTCATTCACCTTGGTCCTTGTTTTTTAGGTATGGGCAATTATTGGGAGAAGAATATGAGGGTGGTTTTTCTGGCTCCACCAGGGGAGAAACTTATCTAATGTGGTGACTAGCATGTATGCATATACACATGAGTTATAAAGACAAGTAGGATGTTCTTTTATTTTGTTTAATGAAAAAAATGCATGAAATTCATTTTTATTTTTCATTATGTTCAAATTTCTAAAATAAAATCTGCAAACTTTCAACTAAGAGGATTTGTGATTTGTAGCCCAGGATTTTTTTTTTTAATGAAAGGATGCAGAGGTATTGCTCTGTATTTATTCTAAATCCCAGAGTCTTATAGAACATGAAAGGCAAACCCATTTATAATGGCATAAGCTTTTAGAGACTGTAGTCCACATATTCAGATACACAAATACACCTGCCATCAGGTACCACCAAAAACTTGTCATTTCTGTTTGCTTCTTTCTTTAAACAAAAAGTATTTCCAACATAAATACTTTAACCTTATATTACCTTTTCAGTATGATTTAAAGATTTCTGGCAAGGGTAAACTAAACTGGAATATTTAGAGACAAAATTAACATATGTGTGAATTGTAATTAATTGTAATTAACAACAGAGCTTTCTTAGATGTCTAGAATATCACTGTATTCTAGTGATAAAGTATTTTAGGAGGATAAAACAAAAGCAACATCAATAACCATTATAATTTGGTGTGACTGAACATACAGTAATATGATTTTCTAGAAATTAGAGCAGACAAGAAAGTATAAAAATGAAGACATTATTTCTTTTAGAGTAGTGTGTACAGTCCAATCCTATGAAGATTTGCTTGGAAGTTAAGTTACTTTATATTCAATTTGTAGTTAACTGCTGCTTATTAAAAAATAAAATAAAAAACTTTTTCTTCCAGTTTTAAAACAAAATGAAATTTCTTTTGCTGAGAATAGAAGGAAAATCACCTGGTTTAATAAAATCTGTCCTCCTGAAGGTTCTAAAATCTCTCCTCCTGAAGGTTTTACACATACACACACAGACACACACTACATACATACATATGCAAATTACAAGCCATTTCCAGTGAAAGAGATTAAGAAAGGAGTGGGGGGAAAGACTCTGAACTACAGCTTGAGCAAAATTGATTCTCCGGGCTCCCTGAACTTTGAAACCTGATGAGGACTGCTGGTTTATGGTTCATCACAGGGAGCATCTCTAAGGAACACTGTGGGTGATCCCAGGTCCCCTCTTTAATCCAAAGAGGAATTTAGGAAGCTGATTCATATACTGGCTTCTTTCTTCACCATGGTCAATAGCTTCACTCTTGCAGACCCATAGAATAGAATAGAATAGAATAGAATAGAATAGAATAGAATAGAATAGAATAGAATAGAATTCTTTATTGGCCAAGTGTGCTTGGACATACAAGGAATTTGTCTTGGTGCGAATTCAGTTTACCACTGGTTTCCCAGAAGATATCAAATAAAGAGTTATTGTGATCGTAACCAGAAATAGCACATAAATCCTGCGGCTCATTAACATACCATTTTTAGCCATTGCTTGCCTGTATGCATTGCCCTACTTTCTGAAAATAAACTTATTTTCATCATTGCCATCAGTTCACAGTTTGACATGAAACAGCAAAGAGTTATGCCTTCTCCTTAGGCTTTCAAAGTTCTATTTGGTTAGAATGATCATGAGTTCAAGATCACTGATTTTCATAAGAATAATTTTGTATTGATATAAATAATGATTTTTATTGATATCATTTAATAAAAACCATACCTTACATAGGTATTTTAAGCTATTCAAATCAGTTACTTAAATGGAAGCTTTATCATAGTACACTTTAAATATATTTTGCTTCATATATTCCTCTTTCTGTGCTCCTTGAATAGAAAAAAATGTTAACATTTCATATATTCCACAAAACTGTATCACCAAATAATTTCAAAATAAGCACAATAATTTAACAAAAAAAGCCTATAAGCTCACTGTTTTTAAACATAATCCTGAATATCTTACGTATCATTTAAGTAAAATAGGGTCTATATTTTTCACATAAAATAATGAGGCAATTGCTTCTATCTGCAATATGTTAAATGTTTTTGTTTGTACTCGATATTGCTTTTAGGTTGTTATGCCAATTCTTGTGTGTGAGCCAATTCTTCTAAGGTTCAGCTTGGAGTAAGTTCTGGAGTGGCCTGCTTGTGTGGTTCGCAGGAATTTGGAACTTGAAATTTGAGTTCCAGAGAGCCTCCAGAGCCTCCAGAGCCCAGGGAGGCCATTTTTGCCCTCCTGGAAGTTCAAGGAAAGCCTCCAGAGCTTAGGAAGGGCAAAATACCCCCCGCCATGGTTCAGGAGGCTGACTAGGCCCCATCCACAATGGCCACACCCACCCAGCAACTGGGAGAGAACCCCTTGCTAAATTTTTTGGAGCCCAACCCTGAGTAAGTTCCAATCATAAGACAACTGAAAGAAGACCTGTGTCTTTTCAATAATGGAGGTGATAGGGACTGAAGCAGATGTTGTCCCTTCTTGCCCCAAATGACAAATGTTCTTATGTACAGTTATGAAATGGATAACATGAGGATACCTTAGTACAGAATCATAACTAGGACATCTGTAGTACATTGATTGTCAAGAACCTGTTCTGAGCTTCCAAGAATGATTTTCTCCTAGTCCTGCTTGCTGGGGAATAAATCTTGAATTCTTTACATGCTAAGTCATCCTTAGGCACTAAGTTACAGACTTTCCTCTAAAGTGAGAAATGTGCATGGTTTGGATAAATCTATATATCTATACATAAATAGATGGGGACAGGATAATCTATAGTGTGAGCTGTATGTTAATTCCCTTCTCCTGGTTCTTTTTTTTTTTGGGGGGGGGGGGGGTGGGGAACCATAGAAAACATAAGAAAAGGAGAAATAAACTCCCAAACAATTTATCAAGAAATTCTATGAGTCTAAATTAAACTTGATAAAAAGGATGGAGGAAGAAAATGATCTAGTAATACTGTACCATTCCTTTCAAATAAGTACTTTCAAAACACAATTTTATATTGACACATGCCAAGATAAATTTTATTATGTTCAATAGGACTTTCATGTATATTTATCTTCATATAAATAATAATGAATTGCAACATTAATACAATACAAGTGTTATGACTACAGAACACTCTTTATTATAGGATTAATCCAAATTTCACAATTTAACATTCTGCATGTTTTGGAAAAAAGTACATTTTCTTCTGTATTATATTCACTAATTAAGAAAGAATAATTTTGCCAATCTTCTAATACTAAAATTTTCCTTCTAATAAGCTACATCTATCCTCTAGAAATTATATTAATTATAATTTATTTAGCTGCATCCAATTTGTACTGCTCTTATAATTTTTTTTCAGCTTTGAAAATCACTTTATGCTATTCAAGAAGAATATTAATAGTTGTGTTAATGTTTTCTCTTTCTTTTTATATAAATAATGAAATGCTTACAACAATTTCTTAAAAAATAAGCCTTGGCATTTTTATAGGTGATTTTATTTTATTTTTTCTGAGTTCAGAAAGTTTTTTTAAAAATGCAAAAGTGAGACCCAGCTTTTATATTAAAAT